CTGCCCCGTCCTCTCTTCAAACTTCTTTTTGTTTTGATTCAGCTTTCGGGCAGCGCGCCTCCTGCTGCCGAACGGCGCGGACCTCGATTTTTTTTTTGGGAGGGTCTGCTGGTGTGGGCGCTGCAGCCCCACTGGAGGGACAGTTTTCAGACATGTAGATCTCGTGGTTGGCTGATGCGATTCGGATGCGGTTTGTTGTGTGATATAGCTGTAAACCCCAGGTAGAGGGCTGTAGGGTCGCTTTCACGAGAGGAGCAAAGGTCGCCTTGGGCGTGGAGCAAATAGCCCAAAAAACCATGTTTTTTGGTGTTGTTCGTCCGCCCTTTTACTTTAAGAGAAAACCTATCCTACAGTCACCTCTTTTGGACCTGTGTCCAGGTTTGTGTAACGCATGAAGAGCCATGCTGCTGTGTGGACGCAGAGCTACCTGTACGAACAAATTGACTTGATGTATAGTTTATTCAGTATTAACAGCGGGATTCTCAAGAACCAAAAAAAGGACCAAATCCGCGTGCCCCCCTCAAATTTTGCCGAATGGACCGGACGTTTTTTTAGCCCCGAATTCCGCCGCTTTAACACCCCTAACAGTATTGCGAACTGGGGGGCGCGCGGGTTGGGAGATGTGTACAGCAAGTCAGAGGCCCAGGGGGTGTTCCGCGGTAAAGACAAATAGTTTCCACGAGTTTTTCAATGACCAGCAAGAAATGGTTCCCAACCTCTGATAATTTGTACCAACATCCGTTAGGTCACGAGGATCACGAAAATATACTTATTTTCCCATTTGGGTGTCGTGGTGATGACTTATTGATGAATTAGTGGCCAAATTGGGTGAAAATCGCGTCTGCGGGCCCCCCGAGCAAGTTGCAAATGCCTCCGAATCGTCAAAAATGTTCATGTTAAGGTAATGTTGTGTTGTACATCAAGAATCCGTCGTCAGAATTTCGATCAGGATCGATGCGGCCGTGATACAGCTACGCACTGATATATATGCGCGAAAGCAGGGATAACCTGGAATTACTAGGAATTACACTGAAATATCCCCCCTCCCGCAACACTTTCTGCATGTTGATTCAATCTCTCCTGACTTCGAATTAGGGTAATTTTGGGGTGGGGATCACAAATACATTGTTGGAATGTCCCAGTTTTGATTTGCAATGGACTTTCAGCTGCTCAAAAGCTGACAGTAGCTGAGCAATTTCAAAATTCCTGGGATTGTGGATTCTCGGTTCCCACGTCGAGTTTTTGTCTGATCAACTTTCTGAGTGGCTCTACCCCCTCTAAATCGGCCAAGCGGAATCGATTGCCGAGGAGAAATGGAGGCGCCGAAATCGGCAACGCGGTGAAAAAACACAATCAAGGCGATCCGATCACATTTTTTTTGTTTCTCTTTTTTTTATGCTTTTAAACGTCGTTTTAGACATGTATGCAAAAACGGTTTTTCATTCGAGTATTTCCTCGCCGCGGGAGAGACAATTCGTCTTTACCGCGGAACACCCCCCAGGAGATGCATCACACAGCATACACAGCGTACCACCTCAGCCAAGCATGATAGACCAACGGTTCTCACTTACATTGCATAGACTATAGCGGAGCCTAGGTTGACTACAATTCGGTAAACAGCCCTTTGAGTGCTGTGTCCCAAAGTGTCCCCAAACCGTCCCCATCAAGAAAGGCTTCCAGTACTAGGTGGGTTAAGCAACCTACCGCGGTAGCTTCTTTGACCGCAATAGCTGAATTCAAGCCCAGGCCGATCCTGGCATCGACAGACACAGACCAACCGCGATTCAGCCTTACATGCTGCATCCAGTTTTCCTTGCTCTCAAGGCCTAACAAGGGCCGTTCGAAACCACGAAGGAGCGAGAGACTACAATTGATTGGGTGCGGATGGCTGTGATCTTTTCGAGCCTTTTTGCATACGCGCGACTCCCCCCGCATGTTTGTGACTCACCACTTCTGGTTTTATCTCTGGTGCAGCGATCGTCACGTGTTCAATGTGTGCTTTGAGCTATGAATCAATGTCGGTTGCCTCGGCTGCTCTCGGACTGCAGTTGGATGTGGCAGATGTGGCAGAGAGAGCCAGCTGAACCAGCATGTGGGGGTGGACACGCGAATTGTGTCACAGAAGTGATGGGGGCGGGGGGGCACGGCGACCCTCTCTGCACCCGGTACATTACCGGATGGGACTAAAGCAGTAGGTATACTGCTGTAGACTTAAGTAGTTCGACTTGGCAATATCCACGAAAGGTACTGCACGCTTCTCGCGTTAAGAACCGAAGGCAAGCACTGCAAGAGGGGCGGGTAGGAGACCTAAGGGGGAGGAACCCTTCTGGGGACCACGGATTGGAGCTCCGACGCGGCAGAAATGCTGCGTGTGTAGACTACGCGCTGACTTTCAAAGTGACGAACAAGTAAGAAGTACATTGAGGCCGATCGCCCTCCGTTATTTTTGAGTACTTCCAAGTACGATGAAAGTCGCGCACAGACGAAATTTTCAGGTTGACTGATAGATGCGGTCGGCCACATCCGTCCCTTGGCACCAATCGTGAAACGTGCAGTGTTGTGTAGTTCAAATAAATGCGAGTGAAAGGCGAAGGTGGGGCGAAGAAGGAGTACTCGTTCGAACTTGATCAGCTTCCTTTTGCTGTACAATGAAACACAGAGCACAGCGCTGTGTGTCCATCCACAGCAGTGTACCAGATCTGCACTCGGTGTGTTTACTTCACGAGTGTTGGGACTTGCTTGCCCGATTTCCTTCTCCCTCGTTGTGCCTGTTATATTGTGTGTTGGCTTACGAGCGCGGAAGCCCGTTTCTTTGCCGCGGAGAACGTGGAAGAACCCGTACTACAAGATAACAGCAGTAGTGCGGGGATGACGCCCGCCCGTACTGGTCAGCACATTGCGTTTTGTTGACAAAACAGCAAAAAAACAACGAAAAAATAACAATTTGTTAATGATTGGGGGATCATTTTTGCTGAACGGCCGGTTCGCTCCACGCGGCCAAGAACATCCACACAGCAGGCGCTTGCTTGAACAACTTAGATATGGCGCCACAAAAGAACCCACCAGCACATGTTTGCCCGAGGCTCTATCGAGACACTGGCAGGGACTACAAAGATAGGGCAAACAAAAATTTTAGAACGGGCACGGGCGGGAAGTGCCACAGGTACGATAACGACGAAAGAGAACGAGATCGACCGCCAGCTCAACTACTTTGTCCCAGCTGCGATAATACAGTCAACAGCCCGGACAGAGGGGGCCGAAAACGTTCACCTCCCCACAAACAAAAATCCTCTGCCAGAAAATACTGCTCCCCAGAGCTGGAGATACCATGTTCCGTACCCCTGCCATTCTTGAGGAAAAATAGAGCCGTCACAATGGCTCTACGGGGGTGGTGGTGGCTCTTATCTCGCGTCACCGACAAACATCGGCAGCTTCCTCGACTTCCCCTCCCGCTTTTTTCATCGCTTTGAAGGTGAACCGGTCTGGCTGCAGCCCTCTCACCTGGTGGGGGGGGCGGGGAGGTAGTGAGGAGATGTGTGTGTCGGGGGGGGTCGTAATGTCGGCGCCGCAAAACAGAGCAGAAAACAACCAAAGTTTGTGTGCTAGGCACCGCGCGCGGAGAGGGGATGAGGATGAGGCGGCGGTGTCACACAACACTCCGCGCGTTCGTGGGCGCGCGCACGGGGAACGCAAACAAGTCACCACGGACCGCTGCGTGTCTTGTTGTTGAAAACATTGTTGGGGGCTTAGCCAAAACAATCGGGCGTGGTGATGTAAGTTGTGGGTGTTGCTGATGAACCTTCTCCCCCCCAACAATCTAGGCCCATCGCTCCCAATATCTCTTCCTCCCGCGCATGCCTCTATCAGCGCTACGCCACTGCCCCGACCTTGTTGACAGTTTTTCCTCACACCAATCTCGCCTGCATCTCGCCGGCAAGAACTACGACCCCGACTGCAAGCACCTCCGAAGCCAAAGCGTGTTGAATGGCAACCAAACGACGGAAGCAAACCGACCACGGAACCCTCTCAACGAAAACCGCTCCGTACCCGCATCTCCCTGAGCAGCGCCGTGGCCTGTCCCTGCCCGCCCCACCCCCACGCCGACCCCACCGCCGCGATGACCGTGTTGTACGACGCTGTATCGGGGCGCGGCGGAGAGGACGCTCTGAATGCGGAGCGACCCCCTCGCCCCTTTCCCTTGCCCCTACCCACCGCCGCCGAAACTTCCGCGCCCCCTGTTGCTGCCACTGCCGCCCGAGAATGAGCGGTGCCGATCCCCTCCCCGCCGGCGACGCCAGGGCTCTCCTCGCCCTCCCGGCACGCCGCGGCACCTCCAACAAACCCACCACCGTTCTTCTCGACGCTGTCGGCACCAGCGTCTCTAGCAGACTGCTGCAGTCTAGCAGGAGCAGCGGCGGCGATGACGGCTGTGGCTTCTCTTGCGGACGCCGCGGGGGGTTGCACCATTGCCGCCGCACCGCCGCCTTTCGGGAGCGAAACTCTCAGAAACGTTCGGGGATGCCGCTTCGTGGAGTGAGAAGCGGAGGAGGCTTTCTCGCCGCCGCCGCCGCCGCCGCCGCCGCCGCCGCTGCTGGGTGGGTTGGGCGGGTAGGAGCGCATCCGGTCGAAGAGAGCGAGGCCCGCCTGGTTCTGGCCCGAACGGAAGCAGGCCTTCATGGCGGTATTGTAGCTTACCTGAGGGGCCATGTGTGGATGGTAAGTTGGGCGGGGGGGGG